GGGGGGGGGGGGGGAGAGGGGGGGGGGGGGGGGGGGGGGGGGGGGGGGGGGGGGGGGGGGGGGGGGGGGGGGGGGGGGGGGGGGGGGGGGGGGGGGGGGGGGGGTGTAGGCTTCTTTTTAGTAGCAATAACAATTCAATCAGGGAGAAATGTATGTGGAACTAAGTGCTCTGTAATGGGAAACAGGCTGCTACAGCTACACATTGAAGGAGAGAGAAAGCAGCTGAGAAGGCAGAGACGGACGGCAGTAGGCAAGAGGCAAAAGGACGGACGGATAGAAACAGACAGATGGACAGAAGAGTGGGGGTAAAAAAAACAAAAACAAAATCCACCCTCAACCAAAGGCTGGTAAAACAAGTAATTTCTTCAAAAATGCAATCATGTCAGAGTGGATTGAAGCATGTCACAAACTCAAATACACGACTGGTGTTCTCTTAATCTTCCGAGACATGGCATTTGTGTGTGTTTGTGCGCCTGTGTGTTCGCGCACGCGTGGATTTTGAAGAACATCGCTCCATGTTGGACTGACATGCTTCATCAGAGCATCTAGGTCACCATGAGATCGGAGAGAGAAGAGAGACAGAGTGAGAGAGGAGAGAGAGAGAGAGAAAAAAAAACACATAAAGTGACTTTTTGGAGCAGACGAGAGTGAGTGAGAGCAAGACATTAAAAGGATGAGAGAAGAGGGAGGAAATGAAGCTGCGTAGGAGCAATGAGAGGAGAAGACAAGGGACAAAGATTAAAAGAGGGAAGCTGCAGGGTTGGGTTTAGTTCTCTCATTTCTTGATTTTTTTTACACTTCTCTCCCAGTCCAGTTCCAAGTATGATTTGAGCCCAATTCTGGTGTTAAATTATTAGCGCAGTATTCTTTATTAAAGGCACATAGGGGACTCAAAGCAATCCAATATTCAGGAAATGAGACGTGGCACCAGATGCGGAGAAAAGGTTTATACGGTTCAGTTAATTGAATTCTTACCTACGGTGAGTTCTTCCACCAAAAGGGATCGGGGCTCGCACTGTGTCAGGAGATTAACACTCTCTCAAGTGGCTTTTTTTTTTGTTTTTTAATTCACACTCACCTGCCAAGGTTACTCTCTTTGTCTTTCTCTGACTTTTTCTTTTTTTTTTTTTTGTCGTTTTCTGGAGCTCTCCAATTACAAACACAAATCATCTTCTTGCTCCCTCTTTTGTTTAATTTGGCAGCCAGTGCTTAAGCTCCATAATGAATGTTTCCATGTTCAATAACGCTCAGATTCTCCCTCTCCCTCTCTCTCTCTCTCTCTCTCTCTCCCTGTGTATCATGCACACACACTCACATACAGTACGCTTCGTCCCCGCACAGCCTGGGCCAGATATCATAGGGTATTGAGTGGTTTGAAGGGAACATAAATCACTTTTTGATCACCTTGCCTGCTTTCAAAAAACAAGCACAAAACAACACAAAAAGGGGAGAGGCGGTTTATAGCCTCTTATTTACTCAGGTCAGATTTGTCTGCATTCACTGTGTAGCAGTCCAAAACCTTTTCATTTATAATATTCACATCCCCCCCCCCCCGCCGTCTTCAACCACTGCAGCATGCCGTGGGGAAATACTCCCTCTCAATCCCAAATGTGAATAGATGTTTCCGGTGAGACGCTGTCGAATTTAATTTTACACGTTTCTAAGAGCAGTGCTCGAAGTTCTCCACGCGTGCTTCGAAGAAGGGAGGTTTTTCTGGGTTTTGACATTACGAATCATTGCAGAGCGGGAGCAAGCAAACATTTCTTACTGGCTCGTGTTTCTGTTGTTCCTGGTTGAGTGCTTGGTGATGCCTTTTTGGCAGCGGTTCCACATTGTTGCCCTAACATCAACCAGACTGATATGAAGCATGCTGGATGGTGCGCTGCTTGGTTTTGCTTAGAGTGAGTGCGAGATAAGAGGATGGTGGCAGATGCACACAATCACGCCGGCATACACAAATGCATAAACAATTATGCTGACACACACACACACACACACATACAAGTGAAAAATGACTCTGACATGCATACCCTTGCTCCTCTCTGTTCTTTCTGTGTTGCCTTCTTTGTCACAAAGACACACACAACTAGCCACACAACATGTCTGGTTCCTCTTTCTCCCTCCCACAGTCTCTCTCTCACACACACACACACACACACACACACATCAGTATTCGGGGGCGATCAGTATTCTGAACAGCTTTCCAGGTCGGCCGGACGCTGATCCATCAAACCCCGACACTGTGTCGCTTTGTATCTGCGGCAACCTTCAGCGTTAAAGAGGAGCACCGACAGTCCTCTGTCACCAGGAAATTCAATGTGTATGCATGTGTGTGTCTTACCGTGTATATGTGTGTTCACATTCATGGACATTCACCCAAATACACTGACACACGATCATCCATGCACACACACAGACACACACATGCTCACATCCACCAAATAATTCATATCTTAATGGCTGATGTTACCGTTTCATCCAGACACTTCACGTTCCCAAGCTCCCTCCAATCACAAAAGAAGTGTGTGTGCGTGCGCGAGTGTGTGTGCATTTGTCTGTAGCAGCTATCTTAGCTTGTCTCTTTGATCAGCCTATAAAAGCACCGAGGCGTGGACAGATAGCCTGGACCAACACACTATCGCTCCTTCACTCCCTCTGAGTCTCTCCTTTTCCCTCACACACATTAACCACCGTGAACACACACCGACACACTCGGAAACACTTTCCCCGTGTGTAGCTGCATCTCTCCCATCACCCAGTGGCTATGAGAAGTATTGTGCTGCCTCCTCAGCTTTATCTATCAGGAGTGGTGAATACATCAGTTTCGGTTTATCTGTCCCCCCCACCTCCCCTTTACACTTGAAACTGTATTGCTCTGAAAGTTAATGTACAATCTTACATAACAAAAGTGAGTGTGTCTCTTTGCAAAGTGATAGCAAATATTGATACCCGCCAGACAGCTGCTCTGTTAGTGACTTTAAAACCATCACACACTGAGAAATAATCTGTTTGCTTTCCACTGCAGTCACAACAACAGTAATTAGATTTACCGCACTGCCTCAGTTTTTCACAAACATGGGAACTTGGGAAATGAGATTTTGACTTTATCACAATTTGGCACAATCCAATAAGTATGTATTTCCTTCTCTCCATTCGTTTCCCTTTTCCTCCCTACCCCCCCCCCCCCCCCACCCCCACTCTGTCTCTGTTTCTCCACTCTAGATCAGTATATTCATGACCCACCTGTCTAACTACGGCAATGATCGGCTGGGTCTTTACACGTTTGTCCACCTGGCCTCCTTCCTTCGCTCGTGGACCAACTTGAGACTCCACACGCTCCCACCTCTGCAGCTCGCGCACAAGTACTTCCAGCTTTTCCCCGAACAAAGGAACCCGCTCTGGCAGGTGTGTTTGCGTGGGTATTTGCCCGCATGTATGGGCTTGTGTGTTTCTGCACTCGTGTATATTTTAACTTCATTTCTGCGTAAAAAAAACTGTCTTGTTATTCTAATTTTTATGTGTGATTCAGTTGTATTCAGGAGGAAAACAGTTTGTATGAGCTGTTCTCTTGTACCCACATTCTTTTGTGTTGCATGACGAGTTAATTTTCCACCGCTGACTTTGTATCAAAAGCCTGGAAAAGAAGGCGAGGTGAACTATTTCAAGGGTGGGTCCATCTGTTTTGTTTTTCGTGATTTTCAAATTGAAACTCCCACTCAGCCGTCAGTAAAAAGCGCTGACGTAGGTTACAGTGCTGATTCCACCACCCCTCTCACATGTGGTGCACTGACAATGTAAGCATGGAGAGTTAGAGAAGTGTTAGCTTGGATGGTGAGCGCTGGAAGGTGGAACATGATGCTTTTAAACCTTTATTCAACCAGGTGAAGACACATTGAGATTCAAGATAATAGTGAATTTGTGTTGTTTAAACAGTTTAATAGACTCAAAGTCAGTGTATAACCAACAGTTGATGCAGTCATCACACTACTAGTGGCACAGAACCAAGCACTAGCCTACTGCTGTGGACGTCAAGTTGGTTCGGGTCCGAAAGTCGGCTTTACCTTGCCGTCAGACAGCTCTTTCCAACGGGGAACTGAAGTCGTTATCTATGCTCTTTTCAAAGCCACTAGACTCCATTGACAGAAACAGTAATTTTGCCTCACAGCACAAAGGTGTTGCTGGGCTACTGCCAGGCTGATTGTTAAGTGTGGTTGTTATTTGTGATTTTCAGAGCCAAGCTAATGTTGCATTCACAGCAGTTTGTGAGTTTATATGTGGCAAGGGCATTGTGCAGAAACTGACGTCACGTCATGTGGGAAAAAAAAGCTTTTAGAAGGGTTAGGTAAAATGGCATCTTAAGGCTAAAGCATACATACTCAAACTTTAGGGCCTTAAACTACCTACCTAAAATTAATTTAGGGCCATTAGTCGACTAGTCACCTGCATGTTTATAATATCAATGTAATTATTAAATGATATATTTTGGGCGGGGCAACACAATGGTTTGAGTTGAAGGTGTGAGAAAGAATAGCATCAGTAACATTGTTAACACTGTGCTACATTACAGAGAAATACAAAACCGTACTAATGAACCTTCATTAATATAGGCCTATATTTTATCTACAAGTGCACGTCACACACTGAGCGAGCCGCCTGTTAATGACGCTGTGGGCAAAGCAGTAATGATTGTGCTAAGTGGCTAATGGGCATGTAGCTACTTCCATGTTTCAAATGATACGTCATGTTTGTAGTCGACCAATGAAGATGAGTTTACATATCACCTTGTGTTCGTCCTTCACCTTCTCAAAATGATCCCACACTTTGGATTTCCTGCCCGACATGTTTTTAACTAGCCTGTGGAATAACCGCAGGTACCAGCCCTGGAAATTAGGGGCCGTACACATGCAGTGTCTTTAACCACCTGGAAAATGCGAGGTCGGGTGCTGGGCTCTAATCATGTGCTTTTTTTGTGGCAGCTTTCAAGAGCGCGGCAGCAGGTTGCGCCTGAGGTTGCTAAGCAGCCTTAACAAGCACTGCATAGCCTATTTACCTGAAATCCTGAGTGCAGAGCTGATCTTCTTCCAGGTGCTGTTTATAAGTGTGTAGACCTGTCGTCTGTGGGACAGATGTAAAGCTCTGGGTAGCCCTGCACTAACATGATCAACTTTTCCGTATTTATCAGACTGAATATTTACAGAAGAAGGGAAAGATATCTGTCGGCTGTGATTGGTTTGTAACTTGACTCCTGTCTGACTGCTGAGCGTGGCCTCTTCCTGTGTCTGTCCTTTCAAATTAAATTCCCACATGGTCCAGTCATGAAGGTTTTGATTTATTTTGACAAGACATAGCTACTAATAGAGTTTCACTTTTTATTTTTCAAGCGACTGATGAAATCTTGCGGATTAAATGACCTTTCTGGTAGACTAACGTTTGGTCGAGGGCAGCCCTAGCTGGGACACAACTGAGAAACAGAATGACATAAACCCCCCAAAACAAAAAAAAAATAATGAAGCTCTTAGCTTTTTTACTAGTATTTACTTTAATTATTACGGTAAAAAAAAAAATGGTTTATGAACTTTGTTTTGTATGTTTTTTAAACTTTCTATAGTATTTGAAAAAGTGTGTCAGCATTCAACACAAGAAGTTTGTGCTCTAGGTAAAGGATCAGTGCTCAGTGAATAACCTCCTAAGCCCTATGATAAACTATTATGGCAAGGCTTAACTATACAGACCATTGAGCAGTGATAACTAACACGTCTTTGGGGTCATCAGGTGGGAACCTCCTATCACCAGTGTTTCATCTAGTTGGTCCCACGACACTTCCAGGAGGCTAGACAGAGATCTCTTGCTTGTTCTTTTTTAAATTAATATGTAGTGTCTTGTTAGCCTGTTACACCTGGATATACTTGTGTGCATGAGACAGTAACTACAAACATCATTCAGTCATTCTGTGTAGTAAATCCTCCGTGCACTGGAGTATGTTTTTGTATGTATTATGTGCACGATTACTTTAACCTCCAGTCCTTTGTCTGTGCCTTTTTAGAACCCATGCGATGACAAACGACATAAAGACATCTGGTCTAAAGAGAAAACCTGCGACAGGTTACCCAAGTTCATGGTCATAGGCCCACAGAAAACAGGTAAGCTGCACACAAACACAAACTCAGGCATGCACATACAACAGACAGACTCCTTCTGTGTGCCCAGGTGTTGAGATCCTCAACATCAGAGCCCATTCATCTAATCCCCCAAGCTCCTTTGGCCCTGTCAGAGCGAGACAAAGGAGGAGGCTCTTACCTCCTTTCTTCCACCCACATACTATCTACTTTAGATGCATAGAGATACAGTACTGAGCAACTACCCTCTCCTTTTCTGACTTTCTGTCTGTGGAAAAAAAAAAAGGAGATTATTAAAAATCTGTATTCGCTGCTTGGATCCAAAGTGTTGCCTTCGTGTGATTTCAGGAATTCTAATTGCTGGTGTTTGATGTGAGAGGTGAGGAGGTCCAGTAATGCTGGCTAATTAACCAGGTGATAATTTACTAAATGGGAGGAGGGGGTCACCATAGCAACATTAGCGGCGCGACAACAACTACAGTACAATGAATTATTTTTTTATTGCAGGGTATGTATGCCTCGCATGTCAGAGATATTAGCGCAAATAGGAAACAGGGTGAGGAGGGGGTGGAACAGGATGCGTGGGACTAAGTGTTAGGGGAGCAGGGTGAAAAGAGAGCTGCTGAGGGTGAGACAGAGGGCACGACCAGAGCCCCAGTGCTGATTGGTGTCAAATGGTTTTGAATCATTTGATGGGGAGGCGTGTGATCATTGCGGGCACACACACACGTAGTGTACTCTCAGCAAGATATAAATCTTGTGGAAGGAAAAAAATCATCCAGTATGGATCAGTGGATGACAGCTCACACACACACACATACACACACACACAGACTACTCTCTGCTGAGCTGAATTAACGAGCCGGTTATGAATTATGCCCTTTCTTCCAGGAACGACAGCACTTTATCTCTTCCTACTCATGCATCCCTCCATCTCCAGTAACTTCCCCAGTCCAAAGACTTATGAGGAGGTCCAGTTCTTCAACACCAATAACTACCACAAAGGAATTGACTGGTAGGAACACAAACACACACACCCTTATCTTTCATTCTCTCTCTCCGTGACTTTTTACGAGTCGAAACCTGAGGTGAAAAGAAAGATTATAAACAACCTCCTTTCATTTTTGCAAGGTTGTCGTAGACTGTAATGTGTATTGCAGACTTTAATTATACATTAAGCAGTTCAAAACAGTTCAAAAACATCCTCAAAATGATCTTTTAAGCCCGAAAACATAAGCCAACAGACATATGGCTGCCTAAATTGACCCATAAATGGGTTACTTAGCTGACAGAGACACAGCTGGTGCAGCCTCCGAAGTCATCCAGAAAAGACTTAACTCTGGAAATTTGTCATTTAACGCTGTTAAAATTATATTGTCAAATTCATTTAAGGCTTGTTGTCTAAGCGCAGATTAAGGCCGTAACTTTGTGGCTGTGTCTGACTTTGGAAAAATGTGTAAAAATTCATACTCCAGGTGACTCCAGGAGTTTGCAGCATTGCTTCGGTGCCTGTGTATGTGGAGTTTATCATTATTTTGTGCATGTGTATTTGCATTTCCTCTCAAATCTCTGTGCCTCTGTTGCCTCAGGTACATGGAGTTTTTCCCCGTGCCCTCTAATGTTAGCACCGACTTCCTGTTTGAGAAGAGCGCTAACTACTTCCCCTCAGAGGAGTCCCCTCGGCGAGCTGCTGCCCTGCTGCCCAAGGCCAAGATCATAACCCTGCTCATCAACCCCTCTGACAGGGCCTACAGCTGGTATCAGGTACAAACACACAGAATATATTAGATGCCACTGTCTGGCTGCACATGTATTATTTTAAACCCTCTAAAGTTGCCTGCTTCTTCACATGGCATCACCTCTGTGCTGACTTCTTTTTCCAAGATTGTGTTTGGAGTCTGATTTCTCTCTGTGAGCGTAGAGTTAATGAGCCTGATTTATCCATACGTCTCAGTGTGGTAAATGTCACCAGATCCTAAAATCTTCTGCTTAAGTCTGTTTGATTAATGAGACATGAATGTCAACAACGTGCCAACTCAAATGTTATGTCATTGTCGACAATAAAAATGGTCTTTCATGCAAAGCCGTGAATGTAATGCTGGATGTTAAAGAAGAGGGAACGAGAATACAATGGAGTCAGTTAAAGCTTATGTGGCTGCATCTGCTCAACTCCCCAGCATCAAAGAGCTCACGAGGACCACGCAGCCCTGCGGTTCACCTTCTATGATGTCATTAGTGCAAGACCAGGAGCTCCGGCTGAGCTCCGCTCCCTGCAGAACCGCTGTCTCATCCCCGGTCTTTACTCGTTACATCTTGAGAGGTGGCTCACCTACTACCCTGCTAACCAGGTATGTGCAGGCAGGCACGGACACAGATGCACTCAATTGCACTGTGATAGCGAACACAAGCACAGATCATACAGTGTGTAAAGTTAAAGCCTTTGGTTTTGTAAGATGAGATTTGTTGTTCACAACATTTGAAGAAAGTTATGAAAGATTTAAATGTACTAATTTTTAATGTGATCAGGAACATACCGTAAAACTATGTCAATGAAATCAGCAGGCCTATATTTGGGACTAGACTCACAAGTCAGTCTTTAGACGCTTTGCTTAACTAAAGACTGATGACTTTCTCCCTGATTTTGTGTTTAGCTGGGTGGATATAATTTCAGAGTTTAAAAAAACTGCTGCTGTAAGTCCTTCATTTCCACAATCTTGTGGACTGAGCACACGTTTGATAAAACAGAGTTAAATCTCTTGTCATCCATTTTCAAGCTCTCTGTGTGTTTGTTTCCTTGCAGATGAGAAAAGGGGGAGCGCACATTTCTGGGAGGGCGTGTCCTTTTCAAAAATGCAAGAGGCGTTGCTTTGTTGCCAGCTGTTTTCGCTGGTGTGTTAAACACACTTTAGAAAGGAGTGTCCCCAGACTATGAGAAGGCGGAGATCTCTGATTGTCTGGTGGCGAGACTAATTTGGGACAGGCCTTTAATTCCATTCGTACAAAAGTGTTGCTCAGCAAAGATCGGAAATACAATCAAATTGTTAATTGAAGCAAGTATGAATATTACTTGCATACAAATTTGACTTCAGGTAATATATCAATTATGAATCATTTATGTGATCTAGCTCCGACTAACAGGGCATCAGAGAGAAAGAGTTACGGCACATGAGAATTACGGCGTCCGATATACCGACGCAACCTCACTTTATCCTGATAAAACAATACTCACAACTTGAGGACCTTCACAGATTAAAGGAATATGAATAACTTACAGGGTACATGAGAAATTGACACCTAATTTGAGGTAGCCAACAACCTGAAGAGCATCTATAAAAAAAAATTAACTGCTTGGCAACCAGACCAGGCATCTAACTGAGACAGGGGTTTCTTTGTCAAAATGTGTAGCCACACCAGACTAGTAAAAGAGACTAGGCGTTTAACTGGGACTTGGCTTTTAATTGAAGTTTTATGGTAATAGAGGGAATGGTACCATTATGTATTTTTCATTGTTTAAAATGTCCTTATTTCTGTGTTTAGATGAGAATGACATAATTAGTTGTGCTAAGTGTAGTGCAATGACATAACGTTACATAGCACCTAATTATTAGTGGAATAAGAAGAAATAGATAATAGAATAGAAAAAGAGTAAATAGATATATAACATGTTGGGTTGTCCCAAATGCTTCAAAGCTTCAAACGTTGCTATAGTAATGACATCCCATTCTGATCCTATATATTAGATCTGTGATGTTCATTATGCATTAACATTAATTATTCTCACACAAGGACATCATTTAAATGCTGTGATAGCTTTGTGACTCCGACTCGCTCTCGTTTGATGTCAGTCACCAGCAGAGCAGTCCAGCACTTCTGAAACTGGGACAGTTTGACCACACGTGACAGGCTTACAGATCCACTAGCAAGATGTTGAAAAAGTCAATCGTCTGGAATAGTTTCAAAATTTGCAAAGATGACCCCCAGAAGCCGAGTGCCTGATTCGCCAAAGGAAACTGGCATTTCTCAGATCTACAACGACCTTGTCAAACCACTTATACATCTTGCAAAGTATTTCTTTATCTGGCTATAGACCTTTTTTTCACAGCAGACATTTTGACATGTAGGAAAAGCACAGGTGTATTCAATAGCATTAATGATAGCTGTGTTTCACTCATGGGGGAATGCAGGAGGGTAATGTGCATGTTGGCTCACTTGAATAGCTTACTGGGACACTTAATGGACCTGAGCCATTGTAAGTGTTATCAGTTTGACCTGTGCTTTTCCTACTATGACAAGTCAAAATGTCTGCTGTGAAAATAGGTCCATTTTGGGTAAGGTAACTGTGACTTGCATGCTAACAACGTGGCTAATTGTGTTGTTATTTTAGGTGCATTGACTGAGAACTGATGTTTCAAAAGAGTCCGTCTTATGTCCTTGTCTCTTATTACCCCAACCCCGATCATAGCTTTGATTAATCACAGATATTTCTCACTGATGTTTCAATGCCCAAAACTGGTATTCAGGACAGCCCTAATCACATCTGCCTGCTTGAGTTCTGTTTTCCAACATTTTTGGTGTCATCAAAGTAGATCAAGTTGCACTAAAGAAGCTGCCCACATGCTTTTACTTCGACCAGTACCTAAATAATGCACCAGCTAGTTACCCAGTGTTACAGTATGAGTGTATCTGTGTGTAGGTGATGATCATTGACGGCCATCAGCTGAGAACTGACCCCGCGGCAGTGATGGATGAGGTCCAGAAGTTCCTGGGAGTCACTCCTCACTTCAACTACTCCCAGGCCCTTACGTAAGTCTCTCTTGCTTTGCTTACTTTCTCTTTTCAGTCTCTGACATTCCTGGCATCCCGGAGTCAGGGTGCCTTTCACCTGGCAGGCACTGTGATAGAAATGATAGCACAAGCTGTAAGGATGAGACTCCAAACCCAAATCTGCATGAAGCCTGACATCTACTGGTGAACAGCGGGGCACTAAACTGGCCATCTCCTCTTTGCCAGTCTCTGGTGCCAGGTGGTGTCATTCTCTGAAAACTCCAGATGACAGAGACAGTGACATCACCTGGCACCAGAGATCAGCCAATAGCAGGTGGTCAGTTTGCTGCTTGCTTTGAGCTATTACATTTCTGCCTTTACAGATTAAGGTGTGGGCTGTTGCAGGAGAGATGGAATGTACTGGATGGTCCCGATGCAGAGAACAAAGGGAATATTGGTTTAAGATGAGCCAGAGATGATAAGACAAAAAGAGAAAAGAAACATCAAGGAATTTGTCACATTTTAATATAGAGGATGTGGCAGAAATTCTTAGCTTTAATGGCAAATTAACAAAACAAGGTTGTAAAAAGGAGTGATTTATTAGTGTCACGAAACGTAGCAGGTAATTTAATGTAATGCATAACTTTTATTGACACACTTTTATTATCCTGACTGCAGGGAATCAATGACAGACGCTTACATCTCCTCACACTCAAATTTCAGGCATCATTTCCAAACATTTAAGGAGCATTAACATCTGATTACATTGCTTTGCAATTTAAGAGTGCGTGAATTATGTTTGTACTGCGCATTAAACACATGACTTTGTTCTAGCAATCAAAAATTTGATGCCTATTCTTGCCAAAAGACAGTTAAGTGGTGAAGTCTCAGCCCCGTGAGCTGCTGGCCTGGGATCAAATCCCCAAAGAGTGTCGACTGTCTCGCTTACACTGCCTGCCTGTCTGTGTGACAGCTGTCTGAATAAATAAAAGTACGAAAAGGTTAGTGCACTGCACAGTGTCAATCTGAAAGAACTAAAACAGACACCAGTAGCTCTAACCAAGATAAATAACTAATGCAACCTCTATGCTACGAACTAAGCATAGTCTTTGTAGTCGTTCATAACAGATCAAAAAGACATGTGCAAAAAGGAGAAATAATACAGATATAATGAACTGTGCATCCAATGTGTGCAGATATTAATATGTCTAATATGTTGACCCAAAATATGCATGTCAACTAAACTCTCTCGAGTTTTAATACAACTCGAGAGAATTAGCTTTGGCCTCTTGACGCTCTGTTTCAACTCATTCTCCATTAGAGATTTTACATGTGACCTTTAAGTTTTGGAGGAGTGGAAAACGGTTTATTTATCTCAAGCACCACTCATCAGAATGCAATCTGCCTCCAAGCCCTCAAATCTCCAGACAGGGACATCTAAAATTTGTAGCTCAGATTGGGACAGAGAGTGCCTCTGTCTTGAGTGCCTCTGTCTTTAATCACAAGCCCACATGCATACAAATAATTTGTAAAGAGATGCATTTTGACAGAATAATAAGGAAGCTGTATGTGTGTGTGTGTGTGTGTGTGTGTGTGTGTGTGAGTGTGTGTGTGTGTGTGTGTGTGTGTGTGTGTGTGTGTTTTGGTTGAAGACCGAGTTACACAAAAGCCTAATCTTTCTTTTCTCCTTCTCATTCTTTTGACATGGCAGCGGTCTGACAGATCCTCAACACTGGAGCCTATTTATTTAATCCCCCTCTCCTTTCTTCCTCCTGTTCTGTCAGAGGAAAACTGAAGGAGAACCACTTAACTCTTTTTTTCCTCTTTTATTCACCCACTGATGCATGCAGATAAAGAACAATATTTGCATCTTTCAGTCACATCCACATTAGCCTTTATACTCTGCATAAATGTATACATGCATAGGAATGAGTAAGAAGTCTGCATTATATATGCACAACATACATGTGCATGCAGATCCATAAATACTGTTTACACTTAAAGGAGCAGTGTGTAGAATTTAACGGCACCTAGTGGTGAAGTTGCAAATTGCAACCAATTTAATAACCCTTCCTTCACCCCTTCCTTCCCAAGCCTGTAGGAGAACCTATGAGCACCATTACTTAAACATACACATGAAGAGGCCTCTCTAGAGTCAGTGTGCTACCATTGAAAGCGGGATTCATACTTGTGCATCAGCGCTATGCAGAGCCTATGCCGTTGCCTAAGCATGTGGCCTGCACCGTTGTGAGCATTTATACTGTGTGTCTGTGTCACTCTGCAGTGTCATCTCCAAAACACTAGTCAGCGTCGGGGTTTCTGTGAAATGCTGTAAAGTTTAGTTGATTCAAAACACATCCCAAAACACTTTTTAAATGTCTTAATAGAGACAATTTCAAACACAAGTACACAAATCGGCTTCATTATAACTCACAGCATTCACAGACAAAGCCTTTGTCTTTTGCCGGACACATTTTCCCCACAAATGCAACCTGCTAATGTTTTTAGCACAAGCCTATAGCATTTTACATTGTGCAAATTAGCCTAGCAGCTAGTGGACTGTTTCTGTGCGCATATGAAGCCAGGGACAACAGCAACATTTAACAAAGGTAGCGATACAAAATTCGGCTCCATTACAACTCACAAGGTTCACCAACGAAACAACCGTCTTATACTAAACACGTTATCCAAACAAATATAGCATGCTAATGTTATTAGCACAAGCCTATGGCATTTTACACTGTATAAATTAGCCTAGCGACAACCAGCTAACATTTAGAAATTAGGCTCCATTACAACTCACAAGGTTCACCGACAAAACAACTGTCTTATACTAAACACGTTTTCCAAACAAATAAAACATGCTAACGTTATTAGCACAAGTCCATGGCATTTTACACTGTATAAATTAGCCTGCCAATGAGCAGAGATTTCCTCTACTCATATGAAGCCAGGATAAATCACACACAAGACTTATAATGCTATTTTTTGGAGGCTTTACTGTCTTCACAATTTATTGTTTCTTATCTGTGAAATTAAAGTAAATAAAAGCTTCCACTGAGGAAAATGGTGTCAGCTTGCAAAAATAGACAGGAGGTCTGCGTCGCCGCGACGTGTAGTTATATTTTTGGGGAGCCAATGGAAACACAAATGATTCTTAGTTTCAGGTGATTATACACTAATGAAAACATAATTATAAATATAATATTCAATTTCTGCCAATACATCCACCTAAATCCTACACACTACTCCTTTAAGTTAGATATACATGTCCATGCATAAATCTATATATGTGAATATGCACTCATGCATATACTCTATACACGTGACAACAAGCACATGTTTTTTCCAGGGCACTTTGCTTTAAAAGTCACCTACCGTCTCCTCGCCTGATGACAGGTTGTCACATAACATGCTGCTGGGGTGTAATAGTCTTTGCACTCTGCTAATAAGAGAGGCAGTTTGGCTTTACAGCAGATGCTCGTGGAGCCAATATGGGAATGTTATGGAGACATCAAATTTATTATAATATTTCTCCCTCACATTCATGCTTTTTTTTTTACATTCATTCAGTAATGAATTGAAGTTTCATCTCAGGCACATACTTACATCCCCCAGCGATTATTATGTTATCTCTTTTATCTCATTGTTATTATCTCTGCCAGCTCAATCCAATAGCGAAGTTGTGATTACTGTTGTTACTTGGTCATTTGCCTGTAAACTACGGCAGTCAGATAATCTTCCACTGTGTTTAACTTTTTGTACCTCTGCGTTGGAGGCATGATGTTTTCTGTACGTCTCGTTCTTGTGAAGAGCCTTGAGGGAGTTTCCTCAGATTTGGCATAAATGTCCACTTGTACTCAACAATTAACTGATTAGAATTTGGTGGCCAAAGGTCAGTGTGGCCTCACAAGATGTGTTTTTGGCCTTACATTTATAAATGCATACTTACATTTGAATAAAAATTGAAAGCAGCAATTTAATAAATATTTTAATACATGTATTAAAATTAAAACAAACACAGAAAACAGCGATAACCAGAGTGTTTTGGTGCCCCTGCACCCATTGGAACTCTTGGAGGGGAAAAGAAGTAATTTTAAAAGGAGAAAAAAAATCAATCATTGGCAGTTTGTAGCATAAAGAATCCAAATTCCAAGCAGTCAACTGGATAGCTGAAAATAAAAAAGCCTTTAATAAATATGGACTAGTACATAGTAAAAATATGCCAACTGGTATTGGCAGAGTTGCATTCCTCAGGGTGTTGTTACACACAATGAACCCAAACCAATAAGTGAAGTAATCACTTTTTTAAATTAGATTAGATGGGAGTAAACAAAACAAACTATGGCCTATGCATATTTCTAATTCTGTTTAAGCATCTCATAAAGAATATAGTAATCCATTACTGTTGGATTACTGCATTAAACAGCCAATAAAGTATACTTGTGATTACTGTGCGTCTGCATTGAGAGGAACAGAGAGGAGAGGAATGGAAAGGGAGGCAGATAGAGACAGAGATGAAACAAGACAGTGCGACAGTCATAGAGACACCGGAACACGCTAGCAAAAGAGTACGAGACAGACAGAGAGTGTGTTGAATGCGTAGTGACATTTGTGTCTCGTCCGTGAGTGTAAAATGGGCCGACTTTTTCAGCTGTAATTTCCCAAAAGAAGAAACACTGCTTTATATTTCAGACTGAACTTACTATTCATTTGAATGTTTTATTGAAAGTTCTCCTCTGTCCGTCTCTCTCTGTCTCTCCTCTTGCAGGTTTGACCCTCAGAAGGGCTTTTGGTGCCAGCTCCTCGAGGGAGGGAAGACAAAATGTTTGGGAAAAAGCAAAGGGAGAAAGTACCCTCCTATGGAGCCAGAGGTAAACAAATACATTTTAATTAGAATAGATTTCCGCTCGGTGACAAAATAAATGATATACGCACTGAATGAAATGTTAGAGAAAGAGACATATAGGAAAGAAAAAGCATCAGCCTGACTGACAGTGATACACAGTCCCCTCCATTGCTGTGGCAAAATTTCCCACAGGACTCAGCGTCGGGGTGGAAACTGTCAGCCAATCAGATCCAGCCAGAAAGTTACAACCTAATTATGAGGACTCAATAGTGACACAACACCCGTGAGGGAGAGGGTCGCGGGTGGTGGTGGGGATTAGGATGGAGGGAGAAAGGTAGAAGGAGAAAATCCAATCCATAAATCTTTGTCCTGGCTACTGATTCCACAGAGGAGAGACCAGACCTGCCGACAATGAATCACACATTTGCTCTCACATGAAGACAAACACACGTAGATACAATTTGTCTTCCCTCATGTGCTCACACACGGCTAATGGCTGCGCCTCAGTGTCACTTGTAATTAAACTGTGTTTGAGTTTCCACTGTGGGGGGGGGGGGGGCAAATGAGGGGGGAGGAAATGGAGGGAACACCAGGGAGGAGAGACATGAGAGTGGGAGAAGAGGGGTGCGCACAGGAGGGAGAGAGATAATGGATCTCATACATCCTTCATGCAATTTTCTCCCCCTCTCTGCCTCTCTTTTCTTAGCTTCGTTCATACCACTCGGCACTTAGTGGCCCTAAAGTCCTATTGAGGAGAAATAAACTAATCTAAAGATGGTGGCACATCATTAATCTCTCTCAATTTCTTGTTTGCCCCCTACTCCCATGCTGTCTTTTTATTTTCTCCTCTAAATATCCCTCCCGCCAACCCTTTTACCACTCCCTGCACTTCTCACCTTTTCTGTCTCCTTTGATCCTTCCTTTGTTTTTTCCTTCTCATGCCTGTCCCCCATTTCCTGCCTGTTTCCATATGTCTTACTATACTTTCTGTGTTCCCTATCTACCACTTATCGAATCCTGACTCGCCAACTCGTATTCTTTCCTTATTTCCTCACTCCATCTCCCTTACTTCCTCATCTACGCCTGCTCATCTTCTTTCCCATTTTTTGCTCTTACCCTTCCTCTTCTCTCTGCAGGCACATGCATATCTCTCCAGGTACTACAGGGAACACAACGTCGAGCTGTCAAAGCTGCTGCATCGTCTCGGACAGCCCCTTCCCTCCTGGCTAAGAGAGGAGCTGCAGAAGGTCAGCAGCATTGAACTCTGTGACACTCTGCTTATAAATTTCATATCCTAGGTATTTCTTTTGTGAGTAAATAAGCAACAATCAGAGTTAAAGTTAAAAAAAAACGTTCGTAGTTATTATTCCTTAAGCGTCTGACTCTCAAGAACTCAACATGACTGGGACCAGTTTCAAAAAATATTGTCGACTGGTCTGTGCTGTAGACCAGCTGTAATTTTTCTCTTAGATCAGCTTATTTTAAGTTTCACAAAAATACACAATGACATATTTTAAGCCAAAAAAATTTAGCCACCCTACCCCCCAGGCTAACTCATATTTCCATGGTAACAATCTGACCAGTGGCAAAGAGGAAAACATGGCTTATAATTTCTTTGCCAGCATTGTTGTGAAGCCAGCAATATGGAGGAAAAGAGTTTTTGGGGGGGGCTGCAGAAGTACTGCGCCCTGTCATATTAAGAAGACGCATCTCAGGTCTCCAGCACGTCTGCCTTGTGTTGAGATTTTAAAGGGACCCCAACCTGTCTCCTATCGTCCTAAATTTGTTTAAGTGACTAGTGACATAAAAATAATAGTTAGCATGTTAGCCGTTAGCCTAGATACAGCCGGGGCACATCCACAAAGACTACTTTGTGGAAAAAAAGCTTGTTTAGTGGACTAACTTTGCACATGCACGGATAGCATGCTTATCTCCTGGACTGATACTATCACAATACTTGGGTTTGTATTAGATTTCAATTAATTGTATTAGATTTGAGTATTGTGCTTCTACAAACTGTTGACTTTTATAACACTAGACCAAAGGGAAAAGTTAAATCATACACTTCCAGACACTGTTTATCATGAAGCATTGGAGAAAAAAAAAAAAAAAGTCTTTCTGACTTTTTTTTTTCCAGCAGCATCATACTGCATAGAAATGTGGTAAATGACACATACGTGTACAACAGAATGAATGAAAAAATATATAGCCCCAAGGTAAACTGTTACATTTAGCTGTTCCTACTAATCAAGCTAGGGCACTGTTTCCCATACAATCTCCGCCTCACTCCCCACCACTAAGAGACCACTTTGCCAGAAGAATAGCAGACAGTAAACGGTCCTGAAGTTAGGCTGTAGTAACTTGAATTATGCCCAGCGCTGGGGGTCACAGCAGACTGGTTGCCAGAGGCAGTGCTGGGTCTCTCCTGCGTTACAGCAGCAACAGAAAGTTTGCTGAACTGGGGGGAGTCTTGGCAGTCTGGGATCAGAACCCAGGGGCTGGGGTTTGTGCTGACAGAATTCAAGTTGCTTTAGCCAGTAACTTAAAGTCTTTGTCCTCTGACCATCTGCCATTTTCTACTGTATCGCTTTAGCATTGCATTTCTTGAAACAGATGTGACGACATGTAACTCATAGATTAATTCAATTCAATTCAATTTTATTTATAAAGCCCAATATCACAAATCACAATTTGCCTCAGAGGGCTTTACAAGCATACGACATCCCTTTGTCCTTGGACCCTCACAGTGGATAAGAGACCCAGGCACAAACGCAATCTGTGGGAACGTGCGAGACAAGGGAGCACAGAGGATCCAGGGAAAAAGCCAAGTTAGTAACATGCATTAATGGGACATGAATGTTTGCAAATGGAGAGAGAGAAAAGGAGAAAGGAGCTCAGTGTATCATAGGAAGTCCCTGGCAACAATAAAAGCTGTAACTTCTTTCCACCTCCACATGGACTAAAATGAAGCAGTTGAATTTGAATTATACTGATTCAGTCATTTTTGCCACACCTAAAACTTTCCAAGTAAAACGTTGTATGTAACAGTTACATTTTTCCAGAATGTTTTTTTTCTTCGTATGTAGTCGGACAGGTTTTTTTTTGTTTGAAAACATTAAATATATGTTCAATTTGTTGCAAATTGATCAGCAATGGATGAATTAAGACTAATATCTGAAGTCTGACGATTGGTTGGATCTAAGCCATAATCAGTCTATCTTTGTGAAACAGGGCCCAGATTTGACTGACTGTGCCAGAAGCATAGGCATACAATCCCTCAACAGTCATTAGATTGTCATTCAAATACTACTAGGTGCTTGGAAGTATGTGTTATCACCCTTTTAACAGAGCCCTGCCCTCTTCGAACCAGTGAGAAAGGAAAGCTTTTATGTTCATGTAGGACTCCGTCGCTCATTGTAAAAATTTGTTTTATAGAATATGTTCAAAGGGCCTTTAAGCCAGCGAGCAACAAAAGCAAAATGTTCAGTGGTTGAGTCAAAATACAAAGAAAACACACGAAACTGGCTTCTAAGAAATAAAAAGGCATCTTTTGAACTTGATTACCTTCTAATCCTGCCAATGTATTCAAAGCATGCACTTAAATGAGGCTTCCTGTTGTAAGTGCTGCTGCTGACAGTCGCCTCACCTTGATCTCTGCACAGCCCTCTCTCTGCTGCAGTGCTCGACGCTGTTTGTCTTTTGTCTGCGGATTTGTTTGTGCTACTGTTTGTCACTGTTTATGAATGAGGGAGCAGCTTGACAAGTGCACTTAAGTTTCCTGGCCCATTCGTGGCAGTCACAGCATGTTTCCTTTCTTTTTTTTATGGCTGGCATTTGAAAAGTAAACAGATGTTAAGAATTAAATTACCTTGTTCCTCTCTCTTTTCCCTCTCCACCCCCCCTTTCTCTCTTTACCCCTTTCTGAAGGTTAGATAACCTTTGCATCCATGAACCAGGGTTAAAGGTCAAAGGGGTTGAAGACCAGGAAGTGGCCAGGAGCACCTGACCTTCAGATGCACTGTCTGTGGCCTTTTAGTGAACCCTGAGGTGAAGGCAAGGACGGGATGCCTTGTTTCACCTGGGAGCTATGGTGACACTGCTGATGGGAGCAGAGGTCATGAAAGCGCAAAGAAAATCTGGAGGGCTGAAACTGAACTCAGTTTGGATGGATGGATGGATGGATGGATGGATGGATGAGAGTTTCAGGTGACCGTCAGCTCTGAAGAAAGTGGGACTAAAAGGAAGAGCCACACCATAAGTGTGAAGAGAATTATGGGGGACAAGGAGCATTTTGCAAGTCTTTGATGCCCGCACCCTGTTATGGATGGATGGATGGATGAGAGTTTCAGGTGACCGTCAGCTCTGAAGAAAGTGGGACTAAAAGGAAGAGCCACACCATAAGTGTGAAGAGAATTATGGGGGACAAGGAGCATTTTGCAAGTCTTTGATGCCCGCACCCTGTTCTGAACTGTGGTGAACTCTCATGCAGACCCGCAGTGACTTTGATGGTTATTACTCTTTGTTTTATTTTCACCTTTAATTTATGATGCCAGAGCAGCGCTGGTCAGCTGTGCGTGGTTCCCATAGAGATGACTTTGCACTAAGTTCTGTTCCATGTTTCTCCAAGACAAAAAAACAACACACCCTTTGTGGTTTTATTTTACTATTCTTTAGGATTTTTTTGTCACATTGAGAGTGAATATAAGCAGGGAGGATAAGTGCATAGACTCAGGGTGAGTGACAGGCTGTTACTTTCCATGATAGGTTCTCATTGTTTTGTGAGTTAATTTTTTTAAAGTGAAGCTAGTTCCTGGTAGATCTGGTAGCCTTGTTCACCATTAGAGATGTCACTTGAGGCTTTCTCTGGAAAAGTATGGACTGGAAATGAGTCACTGAAGCAAGATGCATCGCCCGCTCATTATTTTCCCGTGACAAGCCATGCGGAAGAACGCCGTGTCCATTTAGCAGAGCACGAGCACTGATGATTTCAGCGCCAAGGACTGAGGGGACATGAGATTGTGGGGGAAGAAAACTAACCAAAATGAGCCTAATGGATATGACACTTAATTCCAAGACTCTTTAAGTAGCTACTGTAACCGCAGGCAGTTTTTTTTGTTTTGTCAGTGTCTCATTTAAGTCTCAACCTCCTTTTCTTTTTCCTTTTTACAACCAGTGGCCTACGTTGTTGAGCTTCAATTTGAATGCAAAAAAACCCCTAAATGTCAAACACAGAAACCAAAATTAAAGAAATGGATATGACTGACAGCATAAGATGTTTTATTTTATTTTCCTTGTGTTCAACAACATAACAGCTGTAATACATCCAGAGTGGAGCATCAAAATACAAAAATTTGCATGTTGTCCATTCAGATAGTGTCTAAGAAGAGGTATGTTCTCTGGGACTACCCCGAAAATTGCAGTTAGTGGGGATGGGGTAAATTTGACTCCCAAAACCACAGAAATTGTATTAAATATCAGTGTCCAATTTTTATTAAGATTTGAACAAGTCCAGAAAGTATGAATGAGGGATCCTGTTACTGTTCTGCATCTGTTGCATCAGGGATCTGTCCCCGGATAAATCACGGCTAACTTTTAGTTTGATAGATTTTTTTTAATGACAAAGCAATCCCAATGAACCATATTGTGCACACCTGCACACATACTTGTGAAGTCACATAATCTTTGACCTGACTGGTTGACAATAGACCCTTTGTCCTCTAAGGTAAGTGAATGACAGTTTGATGTTCGAGGAATTTAAGCCTGTCAGGTATTGCATCCATCACCATTAACTAACATACCATACAATAATGTTTAGTGTTTATACAACATGGTTATTTTACTTTTCCTGTTTTTAGAAGATAATACACAAATGCACAAACTGCACAACATCAAACCAGACTGCAAAACAACACAATTAAAGATAGAAAATAAGAATAAATGAAACAAAAGCCAACATGGACAAATGGCAAAACAGCCAACACTCCCACCAGTCCTATTTATTTCACCATCATTTTAACCCCACTATAACACAACTAAAATGAACCCAGTCATTCAAACTTCTTTGTCTTTCAAAATAAAAGTTATTAGAGGCCTTGGTCTCAATACAACCCCCTGTCAAAATAAAAGCTGAATAAATGTAATTCAAATTTAGATTTCTTTCAGTTTGCACATAATGTAAAATGGATTGTCTTTACATGAAACTTTGAACACCACATGCTGAAGGCAGTTACAGCATATGTGCTATGCGCAGGGCTCACAGGCATGTAACAGGAGGAGCAAAGATCTGGTACATTCCTGTTTGTGTTTGGGAGCAAAGGCAACACCTTTTTTGAGATTGTCCAGCCGAGCGGTAGGCGTTGAAAGCAGCAGGTGGAGTTTTCTTGAAATGATCAATTTGACAGACACAAAACATTTTATCATGAATGATGTAAAGTATTTCTGACTTTGAACATTATCTCACCCCATTGAAGAGCAGTGTTTGAGGTCATCAGCCGAGCACATGAGGAAATCTGTCTCTGCTGTCTATGTCTGTCTTCTTCAAAATGACTGACCTGAACTGTCTGATGAGTGTCCCAACCTCCCCTGATAGTGAGTGAGTTTTAAATAGGATCCATGGCATACATAAACTCATTTTAGAAAAACTGCACAGGAAGAATGAGGTGCATTTGACTGGGGCCCCCTGGGTACCCAGTACCTTAGGGTGCTTCCACAACTGCCCTGTTTGGTTCGATTCAATAGAATTCAAGTTTGTTTGCCCCCTAAGTATGGTCTGTTTGGGCAGGTGTGAACACAGCAATCACACTCGGGTGGGCGCCAAAAAAAACAAACCAAGACCTTCTTGAAGAGGTGGTCTCGGTCCGGTTACAAACAAACTCTGGTGCGGTTCATTTGTGGTGAGAACGTGTTCCGACCTCGATCTGAACCAACTGCAGTCGCATGACATATTGTTTGGGTTAAACATGAGCATGTTACAGTCCTGGAGGATTATTAATGTGCACCTCCTCCTGTACTGCCTTAATATGCACATTCAGCACATCCAATGCATCAGAATATTGTTTTCAAGTTGGAGCCGCGCCTCATTTTCAAACTGTATGGTTTGACTAAAATGAACAATGACAGCAATATAGTCCACGATGAGCAGCGCTAAAATCAACCTGCGTAGTTGTCCCTCCATTGTGACATTAGAAAGTGTCACATTTATCTTGCAAGTGTACTCTTCAATGTTTTGTTTACTTCCTGGATTTTTCCAGCATTGAAATTCTGACCAATCAAGAGCAGCTTTCTCACACAAGGCATTTGATCTGGTCCTCTTGTAAATGCTGCCGTGAGAACACGAACCAACTCTAGGCAATTATACAACTTTGTGACAAAGTTAGTCCCAGATTTGAACCAAAGCAAGACGACTCTAGGTCTGAAAGCACCTCTAAAAAGCACTAAAACAGGAAACGATGATACGAAGCTTTAAGGAACAAAGTGACTGACAAAGTAATGAAGAATTGGAAGAATAGAATAAAGCACCTGTGAGATATGATGAAAAGTATACCTTTGGGGTCTGTGGGTAAACCAGTAGGAAGGATGAGGGTTACAAAACTGTAACTTGAAGATATCCACTTGACGTACACATACTGATGAAGCCGTCTTTGTGTGTCTTTGCTCAAAACAAGAACAATAGATTTTGTAACAGGAAGTGCATTACAAAATGATTTTTTAATGGCAAGTGTGAGGAACGCGAGGAATGTTTACAGCAAGCAAAACCTGTTTGAATCAACATAGGAGAACAGACTTGAGACAATGTGGACCTGTCCTTCAAGGCACAACATGGTAATAACACATCAGTCAGTGTTCAAAGGCGGGGTAAGTGTTTTGATATATGACAGCGCAGGTTGCCAGGTGAGATTGTATTTGTCAATCTGTTGTTGAGCTATTTTTCTTTTATCTGTGGTCATAAAAGATTTTGCAGTAAACCTTGAATGTGATGAAGGGCTTTGACATTACCGAAGCAACAGGAAACAAGGTTTAGCCATGAAGTCACAAAAGGCAGCTGCCTTCAGATTAATGTCTTTTGAGTCTAAACACTCTACTGTCCAAACAGGTCTGGAAGATCAGAATGAAAGGCTGTACTGTGGGAGAACTCAATTAAAACATGTGTTACCGGTGAAGCGGGAGTGAAGGACATACAGAAGAGAACATACAGCCTATGTTTGAAAAAGCCAAGACACTTTTCAAGCAACTCTTCAACTGATGTTAACACTCACAGAACCCCTTTATGGCAAATATGGATAAAAGTATGGCTTTCCATACATCATGATGTTTATCTACAGTAGCTCCATCCCTGGAGTAGCCCACTGTGTTTGCAAGGAGCCAGAACTGACTGTGTGAAAGGGCTGAAACAATTTCAGGTGTTCCAGTTACGGCTCATTAACAGTTCAATCTTTATTGCAGAGTTTACAGGGGCGGGTAGCAGCAGGAAGCAGCTGGTGTTTTTACCTAATAAGTCTCTGTTCTGCATATTGTATGCTAGAAAAAGTACCTTTTTGAACAAGATATCATGGTTGTAATGTTGTTCAAAAAGGTACTTTTTCTAGCATACAATATGCTAGAAAAAGTACCTTTTTGAACAAGATATCATGGTTGTAATGTTTCTTTTATTATTATTTGTTTGTTACCACAAAGATTAGACAGGTGGGTTCATAAAGAAAGGAGAAAAAAGTGTGCATCAGTGTGACCAGTTGAGAACATCAGAACATCAGAGAATATGAATATCAATTACTCACCCTGTGTTAGGTTAAATATGTGAGGAAAACTGTTTTTCTCGAATGCCTTGGTGAACGAAGAATCAAGAAACAGAAAAAATTCTTTATAAATTGAAGTCATAGTCAAGACTTGCATGAGAGTGTTCGCACCGGCGTGTTTTACATTGTAATGTTTTAGCAAAAATGCATGTGTTTGGGAAGTACTGAGCATACAACTTGATATATGAGACTTTGATTATAGTGCACGAGTTGTGTGAGCATGAATGGATGACTGACAGGGCCTTCTGGGCGGAGGCCCAGGGGCCCAAGACGTCAGGGAAGGACCCTGGCCTTTTCTTGCCAAATGTCACCAAACTGAAATGTACCAACCGAGAAGAGAGTAAAAAAGACCTCAAAAAGATGCAAAGGAACAACAAAACAAACTCAAAGATACGCAAAACCAACCCGGTCTCACTCCAAAGTCATTGAAATCCAGCACTGGAGCAGTGACTTGTAGCATCAGACACTGACGAAAAGCTGTCCTGTAATGTCAGCATGATACGCAGCCTGTTGCCATTAT